AAAATCCTCGGGGCTCTCTACGTGGTGCCCGAGACAAGTCACCGTCAAGTCTGAAATAAGCAAATGTACTACAGACTTATCAAATGAAATGTACCATTCACTCACCTCTTCAATGACATCAGGGAAGCCCCCGTCCCCCGAGCCAGTGTCTGTAACAGGGACACCATCCACAGTATGCACTCTCTCCAGCGTGTCATTCAGGATCTCACCAGACCCTATAGGAAGCAGGCATTCTCTAATTAATAACTGCACTTGGCAACTGAAAAAGAATGATGTATTTCTGCACCTAGGACTTGAAAAGATGTCCATAACACAGGATTAAGAGGAAGAAAAAGTTGCAGAAAAACAGACGTCAAAAGGCAGAATTACACAGTGGTTTCCCTTCACAGGCTCTGGTACCCACTGCTGGACTGGAACCCTGCTTTGCCACTTACTAGGAATGTGACCTGCAGCAAGTCAGGTAACCTGTGGCTCAGGTTCCTCATCTACAAATAGGGGATCCTAATTCCTACCTCATGGGGTCATTTTTGAGGATTATATATTACAAAGCTAATGCAAGAAAACAGCGCCTGACCTAGAGTTAGCAGTTGATAAATGTTCATTGTCAGTGTGGTCTATATTTGTAAAAGCATATGTGTTTTATAATCGTTGCATATATTATCATCACTATAATTTACATAATTATTATATATAACATATAAAATAGATAGATATGTACATCTGAGTGTGTGCAGATAAACCACACACACTTGGCTAAACCACAGTATTTAATATTGGTTTCCTCCATAGGACAGGACAGGAAACTACTATTTTGGTTCATACAACTCCGCACTGATTCAACTGTTACCACAAGCACACATTTCTTCTGCAATTTAAAAAACAAACGGAGTCCTCAAGCAAAGAAAAAGACATTCTGCTAAGATGAATGCCCACCTGTTACGGGCTGGGCCCTGGCTAACCATGCCCTGTGCACTCCCTCATGTCATCCACCCGCTGGCCCATCTGTCCTACCCACAAGGACCTCCCTGCCACCTTGCAGCCAGTGGGCAGAGCCAAGGCAGGAGTCCCATGTTTGCAGTCTCCCCACAGAGTGTGTGTCCTGCTCTGATTTGCACATTTGCACTTTATGATTATTAACTCCATTTTGCAAAGGAGGAACAAGGTCCCACAGAGAGTAAGAGCTGGGAGGGCCCCTGAAGCCAGTCCTTTCCAGACACACTGTGCTCACACATGTCCCCTGGGGAGGACAGTGTCGGGGGCAGATGCTGAACTACTCAAGGGACTCTGCGCCCACACGCACTGAAAAGGCTGAATGCCCAGGAGCGGTCAGCCCCTCACAATCACTCTCACGTCCTCCCCGCTCTGACCACCAGGGGGTGCTGTGCTCGCAGCTGGAGGGACCTCAGGCCTCTGCGTCCCCACCCCGGGGATGGAGGTTGGGGTGGCGTGCCCTGGGCCAAGAGGGTGTCAGGACCCTTGGAGTAAAACTCTTGGGAGGCTCTCCCCAGCCAGGGGCAGGGCTCGGGGTTCAGCGCCTTCCTCCGCACTGTCTGAGCTCTCTCGACGAGAACGGGACCTCCCAGCCAGTCTGCTGTTTCCGTTTGGCCTTGCGTCTGCCACAGAAGCCTTCTGGAGGATCCCAGGGGACAGGCGAGCTGTGCTAAGACTGTGTCCCATCTCCTCTGCACTTGCCCCTTAGTCCAGGAGAGGTCCTCACCCTGCAGCCTCGGCCCCCTCCTCGCCGCCCCCCCCCCCCCCGAGATCCTAATCACAACCACCCCCACCCCCCACCCAACCCCCACCCAGGCCGGAGAAGCGCCCGCGCAGTTCACAAACCACTTCCACACCCACTGCCGCTGCATTCAACCCTCTCATCTGCCCGGGAGGCAGGGGCTGTGGACACTCCCAGTGGACAGTGAAGGAATCCAAAGCTTAGAAATGTCAAGCAGCTTGCCTAGGCCCGACAGCGAATAGGTGGCTGAGCAAGGCCTCCGTCCAAAGGGTCTGCTCTCGGCCAGCAGTCTTTCCACAGCTACGCCCTGATTTCTACGCCCTGGTATTATGACTTTATTAAATTATTATACAATTTTTTCAATTCAGTACTGTATACCTTCTGTCACCCACTGACTTCCCAAGTTTAGTTGTTAAAATAACATTTATTTACTGATGCAGAAGTGAAGGGAATGATACATGGGATTTTAGAAGACTTGTAAAATACACAAGTACAAAAAGACAATCAAAACTTACAACCCTGCCACCCAGAGATAACCACTCACAGTATTTAGTTGTCCATTATTCTAACATACACACACACAGTGCTCTACATGGCTAAATATAGATATAAATAACATATATTCAAATTTAGGGTCACAGCACACATATAGTTTTGAAATATGCTTTTTTCATGGAATACATCATGAGTGTGTCCCTGGGTCATTAAATCTTGTGTCACCAATTCCAGGGCTGTACACATGAATGAAATACAGTTTGCCCAATCAATCTCTACTGTGGGCAGTCTGGGTTGTTCTTCACTTTGTACCTAAATCTCAGTGCTCTGGTTTGGCTGTAACTTCCATCTGAATGGTTACCCCTCTGATAAAGGGCAGAAAATGCAGGCTGACCTCAGACCGTGGGCACGTCAAGCTGCTGTCTGGGGGATCCTGGAGGATCCTGGACTTCTGCCAGGGCTTCTCTGTATGGCTGGGCAGGGGTCAGAGCCCTGGACGGGGAGCCAGGAGGCCAGCACGCCCCCAGGGCCTGCCGCTGACCTCCTGTGTGCTTGCCCTCCTCTGGCCATCAGTTAGCTTCCCCCATGTGTCAACAGGAGTTTAGACGGCCTGATCCTCTGAGAGTTGGCGAGTCTGTGGCCGAGGCTGGAAAGAGTAGGGACTGTGGAGTCAGGCCTGGGTGCTGGCTCAGTCCCACCATTCACTAGCTGTGTGACCGTGGGCACGTCACCCATCTTTCCAAGCATCGGTTTTTCCATCTGTAAAATACTGGCTAATACTAGCAACTAGGTGACGTGCTGTCGGGACTGGAGACAGGGGACATAAACACTTGGTACACAGTAAGTATTTAACAAGCAGCCACAATTATCACACGCTTTTCTGTTAAGCCCTAGGCCCTTCTGGAGGGGTGGAGTCTAGGGGTTAAATGTTCCAGGGTTCTGCCATTTATGAGCCTTGGATCCTCAGCTGGATGGCATAACCTCTCTGACTCAAATTCCCCATCTCATTTGTAAAATGAGAATGATTATAGTTCCTTCCTCAAAGGGATGAGGAAGGTTAAGTGAGGTGCTCTGCGTTACACCCACCACCTATGAAGGTGCCTCGGGGACTTGCCTTGCTCAGGGCTGCCGTGCAGGACGACACTCAGGTTGGTGGTTTCCTGGGTCCCCTCAGGTACAGGTTCGCCGGAAAGCTCCGCATCCTCAGAGGGAGGGGATGGAGTTGGAGGTGTGTTTATGGGTTCCACTTCTGTTTCTCTAGACTGAAGGGAGGAAAAATGAGACCCGAAAAGATTTAGTTGGCAGAAAAGCAGAAAAGAGGTTGGTATCATTGGAGAAAATACCGTCTCCACAAGAGCTGAATACACCCAGAAGAAATCTAGAACCGTGAACCTCTCAGGGCCTAAAAAAGATGCATGGTGTGGTAATGAAATGCTGTTCAGTTTATAGCAAGACTCTGCTATTCTCAGCTGAAGCTCTCTGAGCATAGAGACCACATTTCTGTGATCCTTGGATCCCAGGCCAGCACAGAGAGGTGCTCAGTAAAGATCTGGTAGAGGAAAGGAGGGAGGGAGGGAGAGGGGGAGGAAGGAAGGGGGAAGCTGCACTCAGTAAAAGCTGCATAAATCCAATCCCAGGCACACACTGGTCACATATTCCTGTGAAAATAAAAGATTAGGGTATGGTTTCCTTTCTGGAAAACGTCAGCTTCTGTGTAGCTTTTCCAAAGCCAGTCAACATCTTAACCACCTTTACCAACTAGGAAAAAACAAACACACAAAAAACTCCAACAGCTGCAAACACAGCAGTTCAGAGATCTAGGCGGAAATCCCGATAAACAGTAGCAAAGGTCAATCCCAGACCCAGGATCAGGTAGCAGCTCCTGTGACCCAGGGCTTGTCAGTTGTCTGTCTCATCACTTTCTGAGCTCAAGGGGCTGGGCGTGAATGGAAGGATTCTGCTGATCAATGCTGTACCTGTGATATGAACAAGAAGCAACTAAGACACTAAGATCTCAGGATAAGTGTCTTACCACAGCCATCACTTACTTACCTATCCTGGCTAATAACAGAAGGTGATTTCCTTAATGTCAGAATCCAGGGTACCAGTGATGAATCTCTGGTCCATCAGAACAAGGAGGATTCATATGGACCCCTAATTTAGGACTTAATGGTTCAGTTTTTCCAATCAAACTGGGGTCAAATCCCAGCTCTCCAGTTATTAGCTATGTTATGTTGGGCAAGTCACATAAGCTCACTGAGCCTCAGCTTCCTCCTCTGTAAAGTGGGACTAATAATGGATACTTACAGGGTATAACATGCAAGGTGCTCAGCATAGGACTAGGCCCACAGTATAAATGGTACTTATCATCAACATCAAGAGCATTCTAAATTTTGAGAAAGAATATCACCTCAACAGTCACTTTCTCTGGGTGTTGCTATTAAAGGTGATTACCTGTTTGTTCATCTACACTTGTAGTTTTTTCAATAGGAATATTGAAATGGAATATTTGTGTCCTAAAAAAAAGATACAGTTTCTTGTATTATAAACCTCCAGGGTGGAGGCAGGGATAGATGGCTTCAAGAAGCTGAGCCCTGAAGAATGAACAGAGTTTCAGAAAACAGGGATGGAAGGGTCGATGAAGTGAGAAAGGTCACAGCACTGCCAGGGCCTGACCACCTGTGCTCGGCAGGCAACATGGAGGGAAGCAGACGGATGGAGGCTGGGAAGGAGAGAGAGGGAGGGGGCTGGTTCTGCGGTGAGAAGTCTGGCCTTCAACTGGGAGCAACGGACACGCCCCTTGGGTATCAGGCTGGGGGAGATGTGAGTAGGTATGTACTTCAGGGAGTTCACCCTGGTGCCAATGAGAGCATGGATTTGGGGAGTTGAGGTTTAGGCAGGCCACCAGCAGGTTGTACTAAAGAAGCCGAGTAAGGCAGGAACCAGGGTAGAGCAGTGGGAGCAGAGAGCAGGCAGCCCCCAGGAGACGCTGGGAAAAAGACCAGGTAAGACCTCTGCGTTTCCCGCAGCTGCATGGTGACCTAGCAGGGCGGTAAGGACCCCCGCCCCAGGCAGCTCCTCTCCTCTCCCTGCCAAGGGTCCGGAGGAAGACACTTCATCATGGCTCCCTGATGGTGCCAAGAAAGCTCATGTCTAGCCTGGAGCAAGGCTGCTGGTGGCTGGAAGCCCAGTTGCTTTAAAAGGGACTTGGGATTTGAGACAAGGCAGGTAGGGCAGGGTGGCTGAGCTCAGCAACTCAAGGTGGCAGAGGTAGAGAAATCACAGACTCCAGCCCGTCAGCTAAAAGCCTCTTTTAGCAAACTCTCAACAAGACAGCCATGAACCCTGGGTTCAAGGGCAGAGCCAGTGAGCTGACCCTCGGTGGTCAGAGTCAGGTGTCCTGACTCCAACAGGTGGCTGCTGGTTTTCAGGGATTAGTGTGGATGGAGAACCAGTGTGGCTGATCCCTGGGATGCAGAAATGAATGAATAAGAAAGGCATCTCTTCTCACGCTGTTGGACTGTCAGGGAGAAGACACAGACCCAGGCCGAGACACCACTACTGTGACTGAATGTGACTTGGGAGTGCAGAAGTGAGAGCCAAGCGTGAGGAGGGAAGCTTGACCATGGACTCCAATGAGGGGCTGTGGACGGGATCCTGAAGGACAAGTGGGTAATAGGCAAGCAGAGAAGGGGTGGGCAGGGGCCCTCCGGGCAAACAGACTTCAGGAGTCAAGGCATGGACGAGGGGTGAAGGGCTTGGTGTGCTAGGAAACTGAGAGCATTTGGGTGTAGCTGGAAGAGAGGTCCGCTGTGGATCAGAATCACCTACAGAGCTTCGTGTAAGAAGACTCTCAGACCTCACTCCAGACCAACTGAATCTGAATGTCCGGGTATGCAGCCCAGGCAAGAGGCTTTTTTAAAGACTCTCCCCTAGCACCTCCCTCTCTGCACATGCCCAGCCCCTCCCCAGCTCTGATGCACAGCCAGGGCTGAGAACCATAGGGTATTAATTCTAACTCAGCAAAGATAGAACTTTCCAGAAATGGAAAGGTGTGTCAGGAGATGCTGACTTAGCAGGGGGAAGAATGGGGGAACAGGGACTCCTACCCTAAATGGGGAAGGAGGCGAGGAGGGGCTGGCTTTTAAGTCCCTGACCGTGATTCAGTTTGCCAGTCATGGCTTGTGTCTTGGAGAGTGGCAGGTTGGAAAGGGTGAGGACAGGGAAGTGAGATTCATTCCAAGAGAGAAGCCAGACAGAGAGGGGAGGGGAACGTCTGAGCCAAAGAGGGAAATTCTCCGTCCCTGGAGGGGGTGGCCAGAGAGGGGAGCCACGGGCCCTTCCAGGAGCTGGTGAAAGGGGGAAGCCCCGCTGGCGGCGATGTGACTGACAGTGGCCTGGGCCCGGCTGCAGACCTAGCTCTGCAGCCTGCAGGCTGGGCAGCCTCGGGCAAATGTCTACACTCCCAGATGCCTCTGTGCCTCCCCTGGGGTTAAAACCTCATGGTCATCTCATGCTCTCAGACCCCACTACCCTTTCCTGTCCTTCCCTCAGGGCCACCTTGGGTTATTAGCATCTCTGCCTGAGTCAGCCTCACTCCTGGCTGTGACTGGTACACTGGGGGGCAGCACCAGGCTAGAAAGCCCAAGGGACCACTGCCCTGTGCCATCCTGCCCTGTGCCCTGGACACGCCAATGTGGTGGCCAAGGGCTGATGGGCACACAGGGCTGTAACATTGCCCAGAGCAGCCATGCCCCAGTCACCATCCAGGTGGGCACATTGGACCCTTGACATTCTCCATCCCAGCTGCCTCCAAATTGGCTGTGGCCCTGGGGGTGCACCTCTCCAACATTGCCCAGGCCAGCAGCACAAGTTCATGGCCTAAACCCTGGATGGGGCATGAAGGGAACAGCTCAGCTCTAGGGCCAGTCTCTTTCTCACTCTGGGCCTCAGTTTGCCCATCTGTACAAAGGGCGGTTTTCTGTACACCTCTGTATAGAAAGAGGTGACCTCTCAGTCCCTCCTATGCGAACAGACTCTGGTCCTATTCTGTCCTACCCACACCTCTGCTACTGGAGGTCTACAATTTATAGCCCCCGCCTTATTTCCAACTCTCTGCTTTCTTCTGTCAAAGATGAGTTTATGGACTGAGACAGGCCAATCAAGGAGATCGCTGGGGCTTCTGTGTTCAATGACTCAGACACCACTGGCTGTTTTCATTAAAACAGGCCCCTTAGTGTCTCCACAGTCTGATTCAGTGCTTTTAAAACCACTTCCTTGTCTCTGCCACAGGGCACATTCCCAGGAGGGAGGAGGCCCACACCACTGGGAGCATGGCTGCCTTTCCCATGGGGCCAGAACCGAGCTCCTAGGAGGACTATGCATCTCACAGGAGTGGGGTTCCTGACTTCCTTCTTACAGCTACAGCCCCAAGAAAATGTGACAACGGCCACCATTCAGGGCTGCTGCCCTTGTGCCAGGCACTGGGCTGAGACCTCCCCTGCACTGCCTCCTCTAACCTTACAACAACCCCATGAGATAGCACACTGTTTGCTGCATTATGGAAAAGGGGCTGAGGCTCAGAGGGGCTGAGTAAGCCACGCAAGTTCACACAGCTGGGAGGTGACAGAGCACAACGTTTGCCTTTGGACAGCCCTCTCATGGCCACAGCACAAAGTAGCACTCAGCCAACAGCATTCTTGTGTACTGGGGATTTTGCAAAACATCCATTGGCCAGTCTTCTCTTGACCTCCCCAGGTGAGCCATCCAATGAAGTCACAGATCTGAGAATGGAGACCAGCGCTCTGGGCTCTCCGATAACCCCCAGCCTCCTAAAAGCCGACCAAGATGACACAGCACAGCACCCAGTACTCACCGGGGCTTGAGTGAAGGTGACAGCTTCTAAGATCTCAGCCACTTCGTCTGTCTCCTGAAGCCCGCTGGTCTCTCCCGATGCCTGTATGAAGACAAATCATGCCAGGCAGAGCAGGTTACAACTAACTGGGCAAGTCACAGGAACCATTCCCATGGAGGAACAGCGAGTGTGGGAAAGGGAAGGAGGGAGAGATGGAGATGGACAGAGGCAGAGAGAGTGGGATGGAGGACAGAGCACGCATCTTGGCTATTCTTTTTGTTTCCTTCATCATTTTATTGCTCAAACAGACAGAAAACTATAATCAATGGACAGTCCAACATACCTACTTGCATTCTGTCCAGGTGCCCTGAATCTCTGTCAAAAGGGCCTCCCAATCTTTGCATGGCTGTCATTGGAATTTCCCGCTGGGAACCGTTACGTTTGAAGTGCGTCCTCCCTTTGCTAGCTCATCTGCACTGTTACCCCTCTAACGGCAGCCGGGACACCCGCATGCCATGGTTCTGCAGCTGACTCGTGGACCCTTGGGTCATTTCTATTTGTCCAATACTAACATGCAGAGAGGAAGGAATCCATGCACACAAGGCTCCCCTTCTCTCAGCGTCATATGAGTGAATGCCAGGCCAGGAGCATGGCCTCAAGGAGAGCAAATATTCTCACAGAGCCAAGGTCCACCTCTGAGGGCTCTCCAACTACACTGTTAGCATTTTTTTTTAATTGAAGTATAGTCCATTTACAACTTTGTGTTAATTTCTGGTGTACAGCATAGTGATTCATTTATGTATATATATAAATATATATATATATATATTCCTTTTCATATTCTTTATCATAATAGGCCATTACCAGCTATTGAATACAGTTCCCTGTGCTACACAGTAAGACCTTGTTTATCTCATCCCCGGTCCTAGGACCACAGGCAATCAGCATTTTTCACTAAATGAATGAAATCAGCTAATGTTTAGCTTTGGGGCTGACAGCACCCAAAGAGGTGCAGAAACTCTGGGAATCAGCCACATTCCGCCTTCCTCTGGCTTTTCTGTGCCATGCCATGGCTCCTGCCTGGACCACCTTTTCTTCTTCACCTGGCTGACACTGGCTTGTCACTCATCAGGCATCAACTCCTCTCCAACTGGGTCCCAGTTCCTCCTCCTCCACCTTCCTGCCCCCACCCAACCTGTAGAGTTTGGGTCTTAGGACCAGTTACCCTCAGCTCCGTCACTGCATTTGAGTGTGTAAGTTTGAGTCAGCATCTGGAGGATGAAGGCAGTTCCCAGTTTATCCCTTTATCGCCGGTATCTCCCCAGGTCTGTCACCTAGCAGATGCTCAGTAAATCCCGGAGGGAGGAAAGGAGGGAGGGACGGGGAAAGGACCCATCTTAACCACCCACCCCATCTACCACTCCCACAGTGGAGGAAATGATTCATTTGCCAAGCATAAAAGCTAAATTTAGATTTATTTTCATAAGGATTTACACCCAGAATGTCTTAAGAGTTTTAACTTTGATTTTAGAATCCTGACACCCTTTCTTGGCAGGAAGTCTGGAAACCAGGCCATTTCATTGACTGGTACAGCCACGGAAGAACCTAACACCTTAGAAGAAACACACCCTGCCTCCCCCCAACACACACCAAAGAGATGGCTGAAGCTCTTAAAAATAATAATAAAGCCAAAAAGCCCAAAATAGGACTTGAGGCAGCGCCTGCCAAGATGAGAGATTTCAGAGACTCCATGACGACGGGGGTGAAGAATTGCCTGGGGGCCTTGTCTGGCTGACTGGCTGCTGGGGCCGCAGGGCCCACTGTTGGGGGTGGGGTGTTGGGGGGTGAAGAATTGCCTGGGGGCCTTGTCTGGCTGACTGGCTGCTGGGGCCGCAGGGCCCACTGTTGGGGGTGGGGTGAGGGGCTCACCGAGGAGTCTTCAGCTTCACACAGCATCTCGGGAGTCCTGGGGTCGGGGTGGACGGTGAGCTGCTGTATGGCGCCCTGGGAAAAAGCAGAGGGGAGGGGTCAGAAGCCACGTCTGCAGCGTGAGCACCCATGGGAGACACGACTGTTTTTGTAAAGGAGAAGAGCCAGGTAAAAGGCAGGAGTGAGAAGAGCTGCCCGCAGCCGAGACTAGGAAACCAAGTCACCTACTACAGGCCCACTCTCCTTTAGGGGGACTCTCCTCAGGCCATTGTAACATGAGCGCTGCTAACTAGAGAGGTCCTTGGAGAGCACGGTGTTCAAGGCACAGGCTAACAGCAGCCTCCTAACTGGTCCCCAGGTCCCCAGCTTGTCAGCGGCAAGCCCTCAAATGCACACCTCCTCCACCAAAATGTGTCCTTCCTGTGGCTCAAAGCTTCCCAGCTGGAAGGACTTGTCCCCAGAGCAGCTCTCAACCAGCCTCCCTGCCTCCACTCCCGCCTCCCCTCCCCACACCTGACAGTCCGCTCTCCATGACCTGTCTTGAATCAGTTGGGCGGGTATCAGTAAGGATACGTGCTGACTACATGAGTAACTACAGTAACCTAGGGATTTGCTTTAGAATTCATAAAAGCCCATTGATAGTAAAATCAGTTTTCCAGTATTTTTTCAGGGCATACTGTCCAAAAGGAGAGAGAGAAAGCACCTCACACTCTGGCCTTCCTGCTAATGCACCTCTGCAGAAACTACTCACATGCAACCACCACCCCTTTCCAAAGATAAAAGTCACTAAAGGAGATAACAAGCCTTACCCTTTTTACAACGCCTTAAACATACAAAATGCTTTCACATAGGCTGGCTCACGTGATTCCACAACCCTATGGCCCAAGTTTTCTCATCCCCACTTATAGAAAAAAACAAAACAAAACACAGAGAGGATCAGAGAATCCAGATACTTTCTAAAATCCTCAGGCTAAACTGAAAACTCAGGGCTGGAATCCAGGTTTTTTTGGTCCAGGCCTAGCTTTCTTCCCACCATACATACATGCCTTTTTGACGACATAAGAATAAACTAACAACAAGAACTGCTGGTGGGGAGGGTATAGCTCAATGGTAGAGTACATGCTTAGCATGCATCAGGGCCTGGGTTCCATCCCCAGTACTTCCATTAAAAATTAGTTAATTAATAATTTAAAACATAAAATACAAAAAGAATGGCTGCTCGTGTTTGTTGTACAGAGTCCAGCAACCCCCTGATCCGCAGGATTCGGACTCACGGTGAATCTTTCCAGCCCCGTGGCTCCTGCATTGCCCACGAAGATTCCTGCACTGGGCTCGAAGGTCAAGGCCCGGGAGGACCTCGGGAAGGGGACGTGGCTGTGCTCCTCGCAGTCCACGAGGAGAGTTACTTCCTCGCCCTGGACAACCAGGGCAAAGCGGTTCCACCTGTGGGTCATCACAGGCACCGGGAAGGCGGCAGCCTCGTGGGACACCTGGGAGCCAGGCTCCGTGTAGTAGAGGATGACCCGCTGGTGGCCATCCTGCACGCCCGAGAGCCGCAGGCCCAGGTAGATGACCTTCTGGAAGGCATCTGTGATAGCAAAGAGCACCCCTCCTTGGGCGCTGCTGGGCTTCACCGTCACGCTGATGGCAAAGTCTCTGAAGAAGGTGGGCGGGATGAGGGTCCTGGCTGGGCGGCCAACGTTGGCGCCAGGCCCAAAGCTGTAGGCCGGGAAGCCACCATAGCCGGTGACAAAGGACACGGATGAGGGCAGCGGGACGCCGATGAGCTCCGTGAGGTCCAGGTGGCCCTGGGAAGCCAATTCTGCAGGGAGGGAGAGAGAGGAGACCACGCTTCACACATAGATTCTACTACGCTTGGAACTGAGGAAGAGATGTCACGAACGACATGGGATCCTTTGGGAACCCACTGGAGTTTCATAATTACTGTTTTTCAAACTGTTTTGACAACGACCCACAGTAAAAAATGTATCTAAATTGCAATCCAATGTGCATGTTTAGACAAATACACATCTGTAACACCGAAACAAATGTTTCATAAAATATTATTTACTTTTAATACTTACCAGGCATTCTGATATTTCCCCTTCTGTTTAATAATTCTTTTTCTCTTCTATTTCACTAAAAACATGCTGGAAACAACCTGCCAAATTGATTTCATTACCCGCTAACAAGTCATGATGTGCAGTTTTGAAAACATTTAAGAATATTCTGGAGGGAGGTTATAGCTCAGTGGTAGTGCATACTTGGCATTCACAAGGTCCTGAGTTCAATCCCCAGCACCGCCGTTAAACAAACAAACAAACAAGCAAACCTAATTACCTCCTCCCCCAAACAAAACAAAACAAAAAAACTCCAAAGAATATTCCTACAATGCTCCCTCGTCAATGTGGGGAGTTTTTCCCCATTTCTTTCTTTAAAAGTGGATAGGTTTATTTTGTTCTGGTTGCATGAGATCTACTGTTTAAGTGCCTCAGGGTGTGGGACAAAAGCAGGGACAAAGTAAAGAGTTCCCAGACGTCAGGACAACCGAAGTATGCGTCATCGTCATCACCCTTCGTCACTGTGGTTACCATCAGGACCGTCATCATCTGCGTTCCCTGGGCTCTCACTCCGCGTCAGGCTCTGCTCGCTCCCCTGCACATACATTAGCTCATTCACTCCTCACAGCAGCTCTGTGAGGGTAGGTCCTATTATCCCCATTCTGCTTCAAAGAAAACTTAGAGAAGTTAGGATTTGCCCAAAGGAAGTCCATTTGGAGTCCAAAGCCGGAGCATCTGGCTCCAGAGGCTGGGCTGCTAACCATCACCCTTTGGGGGAGAAATAATAGGGCACCATTAGGCTTCCCAGAAAGGACCCCAGGCTCATAAGCCCGAGTCCTCCCTTTCCCTGGGAGAAGGTGCCGGCTGGTTTGCAGGGACATGCACCCACGTGCAGCCGAGGTGATGAGACAGGACGGCAGGTCCCATAGAGAGGCAGACAGGAGCCCGGCAGGTGGGACAGTGGATACAAACTGGACTTTGAAAAAGGAATATTTGAAAACAGGAATGTAAAATATTCATTTTGTGTAATATATTTTATTGATTAATGTTGAAGTGATAATCTGGGGAAATACTGGGCTAAATAAAATACATGATTAACATTTTCTAAGAAAGAAAAACATGAGGAACAGGCATGTGCCTCCCACTACACTTAAGAAAGATAGTATCAATTCAGCTCAAGCCCTCACAATCTCCCTAATCCTATCCCCCTGCCCACACCCCAGAGGCAGCCACTCTGGGGGATCTGGTGTTTTTCAGCCCCATGCGTACCTTTGTGTGTTTACTACATGGGTTTCTAACAGAACACAGAACTGTGTGCCTGTCTTCTAACTTTATATAATTGTTGGCATGATGCAGGGATTCTGGTACTTTTTTTTTTTCCACTCAACATTGTATTTTTGAGATTCACCCCTGTTGAGACATGTGGTTCCCAGTCTCCCATTTTCATAGCAGTATTGTATGTATAAATAAGCCACTATGGATCAGTTCCCTTTTCTGCTGATGGTTCTGAAAGTGAGGTTTCCATCACTACTACAATCACTACTGCTATAAACTTTCTTATACACACCGCCTTGTGCTTAGCTGTGCAGGTAATTCCACCACCTAGGGGTAGAATTACTGGATGATACAGGCGCGTGCATCTGCACCTTCACTGAGCGTGGCTAAATTGTTCTCTTAAGCAACTGTGCCATTTTTTTAAAAAACTGAGATAGAATTGACATATAACACTGTGTAAGTTTAAGGTGTACAAAGTGTTGATTTGATACACTTATATAATTGCAATATGATTACCACCCTAGCATTAGCTAACACTTATATCACATAATTACCATTTCTTTTTTGATGCAATTATCATCTTAATTATGGTGAAGATGCAAACATGCCATTTTACATGCTCACCAGAAGCGTGTTCTTGTCAACATTTAGTGGAGGCAGAGAGATAGGATTTGGGGAATGGCCCACAGGGTCTGTCAACTATAGTGATAATGTTTATTTCTTAAACTAGGTGACATTCAAAAGAAGTGTTCATGGTAGCATTCTTTACAAAAAGCATCATAGAAAATATTTCACAATACTTTAGTGAAAATGATTATCCCAGCCTCAACAAAGGAACAAATCTGTTCATGTTGAGGTCCCGCTGAGAAGGCGTCGTGGCCATTCGTGGCCCTCAGGGTCACAGCAGCCCGAGAGGCCTCTGCGGTCTAGACTCAACCACACTCCCGACTCTCCAACGTGCCGGACACCGCCCCCCTCGTGCTCCTTGCTGTCACAGGTCCTCCTCCATCTACATCAGTTACTTTCCCCTTGGCCACCCCCCTCACCGCACCCCACCAATTATTTTGCCAGAATAACCCCTTCTTATCCTTCAAGACTCAGGCCAGCCTCGCCTCCCCTGAAGTCCCTTATTTCACCTCGTGAGCTACATCCTCCTCCCACGGCTGCATCAGACACCCCCTCAGTACACCCTGGGGTCCTCCATCTTCACCCTCGGCACACTGCAGGTCCCTGTTGGGTCACGTGTCTCTCTCCCCCTTGGACCATGAGAACATGGACCAGACCACTCATCTCTGTGTTTCCAATACCCAGCTCAGCGCTGAGGAACAAATGAAAGAAAAAGTGAACAAATAAATAAAAGAAGTCCAACCTCTTCAGTTTACAGAAGGCAAAACTGAGGTTAAAGAAGGGAAGGCATTTGCCAGATATAAACTGATCTGATTCCCAGTCCAAAGCTTTTCCTGTCCAGTTTGCAACTGGCATTAAAACAGAAATTAAAGTATGACAAACTCCAGAAGGCAAAAATAGAAAGATTGGAAATTTTGGTTAAATGTAACTACACTGAAATTTTTTTAAGTTCTGCACAGCAAAAATAAATCCCCACAGTGTCAAACAGAATCCCAAACTGGACAAAAATATTTGCTACATTTATCACAGACAACAAACGAGCTACCCTAATATATGAAGCAAACCAATAAGTAGTAGGACAACAACCCAACAGAAAAATGGGCAAAGAATACAAAATTCTTTCCACAGTAAAAGAAAAAAAAATGGCTCTTAAACATATGAAAAGATACTCGACCTCACTCATAACAAGAGAAATACCAGGTAAGACTACAAAGATACCATTTTCCCTCGCAGATTGGCAAAGATCAGAATGGTGGGTAACACCGTTTGATAAGAGCTTGAGGAAACAGGTCATCGCACGCCTTGCTGGTGGGACCGTAAGTTGGCATAACATCTATGCGAGGGGTCCTCTGACATTATTTATCAAAATTACAAGTGCACTTGTGCCCTTTGACCCAGCAGTTACACTTCTAGGAATTTTTAAAACAGATAAAGGTACATACGTGAAATATAAAGCACTCAAGAAGAATACCCATGGTAGCATTGTTTAAAATGTATCTAAATATATTTAAACCATTCCATCCTGGAAATCCTGGGGAACGGTTAAATAAATAATAATTCTTGCTATATCTGTACAATGAAATATAATGCAGCCTTTAGCAAGATATGATTCCTTAGACACTAATAGGACACAAATGTATTAATCGGAAAACAAACAGGAAAAACAAGGTGCAGAATAGAATTGCTATCAGCTGGAAAGACATATATTACATATATTACATAAATGTAAAAAATGTATTTTAATATATCTATTAGAGTATCTGTAGAAGGAGACAAGAAATTGGGACCAGAGACGGTCTCCAGGGAAGGGAGCTGGTGGCTGGGGGACAACAGGAGACTTTCTTTTCACTAGATACTCCTTTGTACTTTTTGAATTTTACCCCAAGAACATGGTGTGAAAAATAAAGACATTTACATATTTTTAAAGACATTAACTCCTTCCATCCCCTTTTAGAAAGTATAAAACCTTTCCTTCATTTTTCTCCTCACTCAAATATAGTCCATCTTTATATGAAAAGAAAGAAAAAAAGTGAAAAGAACAGAAATAGAAGTAAAAGGAACCACCCCACTGAGATTTCTTTTCTCCCTTCCAGAGTTTAAAGATAAAAACAAAACAAAACTGTGAGTACCCTGCTGATAGCTTTGCTTTCTTCTCCATCTCATCTAGTGAAAGCCTTTCCTCCAGCTCCCCCATCTCTCCTACTGAGATCAGGAGGAGAAGCCCCTTCCTGGTGGGATGCTCCAGGTTGGCAGAATGTGTGGTTCCACAGGGAGTAAATGGCCAGAGCCTCTCCTCCGGGGGCTTATTTCTAAGTGGTGTCAAGGGACAGGTAGGGGTTCAGGGAGAAATGGATGGTTAAGGAAAGAGTTCCATGACCAGGAGACCCAGCCAGGAAGCTGCAGATGGAGCAGTGCAGCAAGGCTGCATAGAGGGGAGGTGTGAATCTGCCTTGGGGTTGATTTGAAACAACATGTGACCCAGAGCTTGTGCCTCTCCCATGACCCCCGGGCTGCCCCAGCCCCGCCAGGCACAGGTGGTTGGCAGGCAAGCTGGAGAGTAGGCAAAAGAGTTAGCCTGTGGAGGAGAACTGCCTTGGCGTTGAACAAAGCTGGGTTCAGATCCAGCCTTTGCCATTTACCAAGCAAGCAGCTTGTGGGTGGATAATTTACTGGTGATGTGGGAACATCCCACCCATCTCACAGGTGGGGACCAAATGACATGATGGGTAGAAAATACAAGTGCTTGACAAATGGTAGCAATTCGTCTTTCATTCGATTCAAAGGCACAAGCTTAGCCAAAACCAAAGTCTGTCAAAAGATCCCTTCCTAATCCTTCCTGCCCGCTGCTGCCTGGGCCTCA